GACGTTCCTCACTCTAGCCTGCCGGCCTCCTCTCACTCTAGCCCGCCGGCCTCCTCTCACTCTAGCCCTCCGGACGTTCCTCACTCTAGCCTGCCGGCCTCCTCTCACTCTAGCCCGCCGGCCTCCTCTCGAGCCCACAATGCATCATTTTGTTAAGGCCTATTTGTTCTTTGGATTTTAGGGTGAAAATGCTCCATTATTTCATGACATTCGCACAGTAATCACTCTGGCTGATTCTGAGCGTGACGCGGTCACTGACAGAGTTTCGTTAGAGAGCAGCGCAGCTCCATTGAATCTGAAGACTGAGCTGATGAACTCCTCTCTTCACACACTCATCTCTGCTATCACACGCCACATTGAGCTCTATTGTTGTCAGGATGGCAGAATTCCTGACACTGCTGCCTGTTTCCTGTTTCTTGTTTTGGCTGAGGAGTTATTTCCTCTGGCAGCTGAGAGATCCTTCCAGGACAGAAGCGCACCTAATTACCTTAAATATCCTTCACATAAGATCTTCCAGTCCACCACATGTAGGAGCAAAACTTGCAGTGTTTCAATGAAAAAACAAAAACAAACCTACAATCTGGGCTACATATAGTCTTAAAATGTTTATGATGGCTTGTACAAATGTTAACCTCATCTTAAAATGTGATGTACTGTAGGAACTCCAGATGAAATGAAGGTTCAGTGTCAGTGTTCTGTTGAGACTGAGGCTCAGATCTCTGATCTTTCATCAGCCACTCACACACTCTGGACTGGTCATCTGTGAGTTTACACTAAGCTGCATCTCGTTTATAGTGTTGTTCATTTATGCACATGGTCCGTGTATTTTCACTTGCAATGAATTATGCAAATCAGTTCACTTCACAAACATGCAAGGTTACCACAAAACTGATTGAGCGATCCTCACAGAAACCTCTTGACACTAAATCCTCTGAATAGTAATTGTATTACTTATCATGCAAATTACTGTAATGTGAAAAAAAGGCTTTCAAATGAAAAAATTGTGTGTGTGTGTGTTGTACCCTCATGTGAGCGGAGCGGCTGATCTCTGAGGGTGTGATGGTCATGGAGGGACACTGCTGGACTCCGTCCCCTGTGCTGATCCACGAGCGGCCCAGAGTCCCGCTGGAGCAGCCCTTCTGGACCGAACACCTGCGGCACAACACACACATCAAACACACGCAGGGGAGGCCAGCGTCACGAGCCCACACTGCATACATCACCATTTGTTTTTGGAAAACAGGAGAAACACAAGCTCATGAGAAGAAGCTGCATATAAAAGTTTAGGTTTGGTGAGCTTTGACCAGCAAATACAGAAGAGCAGAAGAACATGCGACCTACAGACGGTCTGGGAGACTGGAGCAAATTTGATATGCTGTATTATTCATTAAAACAGAAGACATCATATCCTGTTTGTTGCAGGCTTAAAGCAATGTAACAAAATAAATATTCTGTATTTTAACAAAAATGGTTGAAAAGCATATTATATGAAACATTTGTGAGCCAAAGGTTTCATGCTCTGTCTGTAATTATAATCCATAAATCATAAACAGCAGTAGCAAATCTCATGTGTTCAATATGATCATATGTGCACCGTGATGCAGTCTAAGACTCTTTGGATGAAAGCATATATATATATATATATATATATACTGTATATATATATATATATATATATATTTATCAAGTGGGCTTGTAATGAACAGCCCTTTAGTTCCTAAAAAGTCCTTTAAGCTAAAGACCCATTGAATAGCATATAAAACAGCATTATCTGAGTTCAATGTGCTCAGAAATCATCCTTTTATTTTATAAATGTCTGGGGACTATAAGGGAGGAAAGGGCCTGAACTTCATGAAGGTTTGTCTAGATTACTGTACTGAGTGATAAGACATAGAGTTGATGGCAAGAACCTGAGAAGCAGAGTCCTGACAGATGCTCAGGCGGAGAAAACCGAGTCAGAGATCACAGTAAGACGTAAGAACAGCTTAAACTGAGACTGTGATGAAATTAGAGAAATGTTCAGATATAAAGTTTAGTCTGAACAGTTGTGTTTGGTTTTTGTTGCATGGATGCGAAATCCTTCAACTGTAATCCAATTGTACAATTAGTTAGGCTGACTAAACAAATATGCATTCCAACGGAAACGTTTATTGAATAAAATGCATTTACAATAAAATAGAGTAGCGGCCTTATCACATTTTTACTTTCTCAAAAAAACTAATTCTGTATGATTTATAAGCTTGTTTCCTCATGGGGACCTAAAAAATGTCCCCACAAGGATAGTACATTTTTGACATTTGGTCCCAATAACGTGATAAATACCAGGTACACACACTCACACACACACTCACATGCACACACTCACACACACACACACAT